TCGGCCGGGCCGCAACGGATGGTTGGTTAAGACATGTTAAGACTGCTTTGGAGAATTAGCCGGGTTTAGAATGGTTTAGATGTTCTTTTCCGACCTTTTCATAGCCAACCCTCTTCGAAGTCTCCAGCCAACAAAGCAAAAGACCGGAGCTCACAGTGGTCACGCCATCTCAAAGCTCACTCACTGTGACCACAAAAATAGCGCAAATCCCAAACACCTGGCAGCCCGCATCAACGTTTAAACGGTTCTAACTCCAAGCAGCGAAGGTGTAATCATGCGCATCAACAACCTGGGCTCTGTGCGCGGCGCAGCGATTGCACAAAACCAATTGTGCTGGTTTGTTTCCAACGAGAAGAAATCATTCCTATCGTCTATCGTCCAACAACAACAACAGCAACAACAAGCAGGACTTCAAGACCCACACCCTAGCAAATAGCCAACGGCGATTGAATCCACTGTGCCTTGTTTCAGGAGAACATCCTCTAGGCTAGGGCCGCTAGGGGACGCCCATTACACGCCCCCGACGCATAGCATCCCGACCGATTCAAAGCTATCATGCTTGAACTGGTCACTCGAAGAGCTCCTGAGCGGCGCACACCGCACACCGCAAGGCCGCACGCCGCATCAACGCCCTTTTTCCAACTACTGGAGCTCCAGTCCAAGTTGGGCCAACCAAGGAGCCAAACATGTCAAAGTACATGCTTCATGGGTAGGTGTCGCCAGAGCCAAACATGCACACTATGTGCTACAGTAGGGTCAGGAACTCCGTCCGCCCTCCAAATCCCCCCTTTGGGAACTTCTCCGTGGGTCGAAAGAAAAACCTGGAATGCCATGGCAGGTTCCAATGATTCTCCCCCAAGAAAAGGGCTACGGCCCAACAAGCAGCACCAAGCGGCACCCAACCGGCATTGTCCCGTCCAGGTCCTGTCCACACGGTCCACGTGAACGGTCCGCTGGTTGATCAAGGTCCAGACCAATCAGAGTCCAACTCTGCTAAGTCCTCGGCGGTGAGACTCCTGCGGTCCAGCGCAGGAGTCAAAGCGCAGCGCAGCGGGTGTGTCGAATGGTCCCCCCCACGGTTTCAGCTGGGTTGAGAAAGTAGGAGAGAACCACCAGATTGGGGAACTGTCGCTTAGCCTACGAATCCAGGCCCGAACCAACACATAGGGTTTGGTTTGGGCCGGGACCCCTGCCATGGACCTGCCATGGAGAACCCCAGGATGTTAGTGGTATGTAAGCCTTCAAGAGCCCCACGGCCGGCGTGGGGCGTTGTCACACTGGTGCCTTGTGTCGATTCATCTCTTCATTCACACCCCAAAAAAGGGAAGTTGCACAACCCGAGCAAGTCAAAAAAGATCAAAAAAGTGGAGAGGGACAGCAATCGTTGGGACAACAAGAAGCTAAAAACAGGAAGAACAAGCTATACAGGAACAATATCTATATAGATCAATTCTATCAATGGCAAAGCTGGGACTACACAAAGTCGATCATCGATCCGATGACAGAAAAAACAAACGAACACACACATGAACAGCCACATGGGCCATTCCGTTGCTGGTTTTCTTCACCTCCGGCCACCCGACCGGGTCGCGCCCAGGCCCTCCACGCCCCGCTGCGGCCGGTTCCACTCCGGTCCGAACGCCCCCAAACTGCCCCCCCGCGGCGGTAGTTAGAAGATCCACCGGGGTCGGTCGGCGGGTCGGCCTGTCGGAGAATTCCAGGTCAGTGAGCTCATCTTCGCTGTAGGGATGTCCTTTGTCAGCCCTTAGGCACGACGGCACGAAAAGGGCAAAAGGGCGCACCCATTCGGTATAGGAGGTCAGTTTTCCGTGCAGGTGTTGGTCGGTGTCTGCAAGGTCTGCATGCGAGCTTTGTTCTCAGACAAAGCTTCGGGAGATTCCCCAAACCCCTGACTGAGACTGAGTCAAATAGATCTCTCAAATCTGTCCAATCGTTGCCAGGTTCCGGGCCCCTTGTGATCAATCCGTTGCTTCTGGATGTTCTTGGTAATGTTCATTCGCTCGGTTCCAAACCTGAGTGCTTTCGTTTTAGCCCCGCGGGTCGCCCCGCATGCTTCCAAGCGGAAGGGTCGAAACCGCTCTCCGACGAGTGACACGTGGTCTTCTTCAGGCATGCCATCCAATTTATGTGAATCCGGTGCAAACAGCAGGGGCTTCAAAAGGCAAAGAGTCCAACAAAAGGAAAAAAGACACGTGGTCAACAAGGTCTACAGTCTGGATCCAAGTTCTTCCGCAGCAAAAAAAGAAAAGGACCAACGGAACCCTCACAAACTCACGGACATGAGGTATCATGAGGCCCCTGCGCGTCCCACACCCCCACGGTCACATGATCGCAGGACATGTCCAGCATCGTGACGTCGAACGTGATGGTCAGCATGGAATCCTGGGTCAGTCCGGTGGAATCCTCGGGTGTCGCAAAGGGTCGGATGATCGGATGTGTTGACCGGTCAGTCAGTGGAAGCCGGATTATTGGAAGAGAAAAAGCAAAAAAAGCATCACAAAAGCCTCAGTCGGACTGGTGCTGGTTTGTGGGGAACATGAAGAGAAATGGAAGAACATCTTTCCATTCGCAGGGGGGGGCAGTACAAAACTCACCGCCAGTGGAACGGTTAGAGACTTAATACTGTAGAGACTTAATACTCATAGGTTTGCCGTGGCCTACCACAGCTTGCAGCCAAAACCGCAACTCAGAACTATAGCCACAGTTCTTGCGCTTATAAAATAAATATAAGAAATGTCCATGTCCCCATCTTCCACCCAAAACCAAACCCTTCCCATGCCAAGCGCATGTGTTTGATATGTCGTGCATGTGAAGGCTGCCTGCACATCTGCCCACATCTGCCCACGTCGCATCCTCACCGGACGCCCGTTTTCCGACCGGGTCCGGCTCGGTGCCCCGCACCTGGTTGCTATCCAAGGCCACGTCGCTCCGGCGCTCGGAGCGCAGAAACGCCTGGGTCTCGCAGAGGAACAGCACCGCCTGGGACGGCGGGTCCGGAGAGCGCGGATTTCAGCGCCGTCAGAGAGACGGGACTCGGAGCCGGGTCTCAGAGCTGGTCAGGGGAGCCGGAGTGGTTGTTTGGGGGGGGGAGAACTCGAAAGCCTCAGGTCATGTTTAGATCGATGTTGTCATGTAGTCGTGACGACCACATGGCTCAAGCAAAGGTTTGCTTTCCGGCATCACAACCATGGTCCCGTTCACCGTTCAACTCGGCGGAGATGCTTTGTCGGCTTCTTTGGTTCACGATGTCCTTTCAACATCCTTCAACCCCATGGACACCCAAGGTCACCCAATTTCCTCCCTCATCAGATCTCATCAGCAACTTGATGTTTGCCTCCTTTGTCGCTCCTGTGTTACCCATCCCATTTTACTAGGTGACGGACGCAGGTCACCGTGGCAAGCAAGGTCATCACCGCGCCCGTGGCGCTCGCCTCGGCCATCCAGGTCCAGGTTGCTTGGCGTGGTGGTCCCAAAGAATTGTTCGGCACATATCAAGTCAATAACAACAAGAGGCGGAGATACCACGCACCAACAACGCACCACACACCAATATATTCATGATTGTCCAATGAATGTTAACCGTTAGCAAGCAAGATGTTCCATGTCGCCTCCCTGTCAGACTGTGGTGCCTCCTCTCTCCCCTCCCCCGTGTTGTCCCCACCTCGCCTCTGCCAAATCCTTGGGCACAGAGCGGAAAGCATCAATGCTGGCCGCCCACCTGTCGAGAGCCAGGCGCCAGCCACACGGCGCCAGCCACCCGGCGCCACCCTTTGGGGCCATGCCTGGATCACGCCCCAACAAAAAACAGATGCAAGAAATTGATCTTTTCATCTTGACATAGTCATTCAGGTCCTCCATCTTGGAGGTTTCGGCGGAACCCCAGCGACCGCGCAGGAGCGAGCGCGAAACCGCCTGGGAGGTGCCATGGCGTTCTGTTGGGCGCCGACCTCGCGCTCGTCAAACGCGGACGACCGCGCGCGCGGACGACCCGTGGCAGGCCGGAGACCGTCCACAGGCGGCTAAAGTCTCATGGTTGGTGGGCCACTTGTGTCTCATGTTTTGGTTGGTGGCCAGTTTGGAAGCTTCCTGACATGTGCTTCGGCTTAGCCGGCTGAAAACCAACAGCATGAGTTGGGTAGACCCAAAATAGAAGGAACCGAAAAGGAAAGTGAGGCAAACAGCTTCGAAGCCTCACGAGGAAAGCCTATTGAATTGGAGACACGTGTTGTGAAAAAAGGAAAACAGTGTAAAAATGTCCTCTTGTTAGATGACAAAGTGACTGCCAAGGCGCCGCTAAAAGCAGTGGTGATTCAAATAACACGTCCGAATGTCCGAGGTCCCGGGCGCTGCCGACCGGCCAGCGTGATGGGCGCCAATCCAACCGGCCAGCACCAACCGGCGGCAGCAGCTTCGTACCACTTCAGTCACTTGAGTTTGGCGATGTTTTATGGTCAGAAATCCAAAGAATGAGGTCACAAACTCCTGCTTGTGGGCTGATAACACAAGCGCTACTCAAGGGGAGGAGTTCCGTAGAGACTTGGGGTCTAAGTGCTGAGGTTCAGAATGTACTGGTTTGCCCATCCCCTTCCCTTAGTGCTTCCTGGGATCACCACTCAAAAAGCTGAGGTGGGTAAGCACTCATGACACATGAGCTGGATGGGACATATGTTGCTTTGCAGCAACTTGCTTTCGTGTCCAGGACGCAGCGCTGTGAGCCCAAAAGACTCGGCCGGCCATCGGTCCGCAGAGGGGGGGGCGTTTGGAGGCGGCCGCGTTTCGGGCGGCGGCCGCCTGCTCAGTCACTGAAGCCTCGCTTCCGAGGGGGTTCCAGATCGATCCAAGAGGTTCCATGCCACTCGTCCAAGCGGATCCGACTCGATCGCGACGCCCGTGGACGAAACCACCACGGCTTGGGAGATTCGAAGTTGTTCTGACCCCCATCCAGTGACCGAATGTAGGACCCCAAATGCACATCTCGCCTGCGAAAGTTTCTCCTGAAGGAGTCTCTCCTGTCGGATGGCCTCCTGCGGAGCGAACTTGTGGAGCGATCTGTCGCATGAGGACTGGATCGAGTGCATCTGGCTTGTTGACGAAGGAAGGTCGGTTTCAACTTTCTTTACCCAAAAAGAGGAGATTGATGTCAGTTCAGCTCAAAAAATGCACGGACATCGCCAAAAAAGAACCTCCCTCCCACCAGCCCCTTCCGTCGCCCACCCATCGCCCTCGCCTCAAGGGTCTCGATCCGTCGCGCGAGGTCTTGACCAATCTGTTCCTGCGCAGCTGAGGTAGGCCCGGCCACCCAGTGAGGCCAGGTGTCTCCCCTGCAGCTCCAAAGGAGGTCCCCTCCACAGGCCGTTCTGGGCTCAAGCCGAACGTCTCTTGAAGGAAAGGACTGCGCCTTGAAACGAAGACCACCCGCCACACCCGCCACAAGAAAAGAGAAAAGAAGATGACCGTCAACTAAACCATAAACCCCTGAAAATGGTCCAGTTTTCACACCCCTCCCCCAAAAAATCGTCGGCTCACCTGGCCTCTGCTAAGAGCTGTTGCTCCAAGCGAAGGAGCCTGACTCTGTCGGCAGCAGAGTGTCTCCAAAACTCGAGCGCGACAGAGAAAAGGCGCAAGCGCCAATGAAAGAACTGCCTCCTCCACGAATCGTGGAGCGGGGGCAACTTCGGCACTTAGACGGTGCTTCTTCATGCTATGCAGTTCAGAAAATCCGATGAACGACCGGCCAAAACAAAAAGAACGACTCCTTGCCGCCTGGTGTTCGACGAACGACCGGCGGCCCCGGCTGGCGCCTGGTTTTCTGCTCCACGCGTTCGGAGCGCAGGTCTTGGCGTTCTTGTCTCGAAGAAGCATGGTACCTCCGGACAACGGTGACCCAACATCCTGCGCACACACACACACACACTGTCAGGGAGCCTTTTCCGCCTTCAAGGAGTGGTAGACATGGACACCCCGAATCACAGCTAAGGGCCAAGGGGCTATAAATAGACACCCCGACAGGAGGGTCCTGGTTTGTAGCTATTTACTATAGTATCAAATGATGTTCTTTTTACGGGCGTTTACAATGTGAACAAAAAGAGATGGATGACTCGTCTCTGCACATTTCTGGGGGCTGAGAGCGTGGCTGAATGAAAGTGTCGCTGAAAACCCTTCCCTTCTTCGAGTGAGATCTAGCACCTAAAGTAGGCCGTGCCCCAGCATGAAAGACACACCAACGGCTTCCGAAAACACCAGGCCCACTCGCGGAGCTCTGCAAGCAAATGGACCAGCCGCCTGGCAGATCGCAAAACATGGGGAAGAGGGAACCCACACTTGGCCAGGCCATGCTCGGCCAGGCCAGGCCATGCTCGGGCGAAGTGGTCTCCCGCAATTGTTCGGGCGACGCGCCGAATGAAGCTTTGAGATCGACTGCCTTGGGGGTCCCTGAGTTGGTCTGCGCATTCCAAACTCAGTTTCGATGTGTTTCGCTGTTTCTTCGTGATGCACAGCAATCACAACAAGAGACTGTCAAGAAGATTCACAATCTGATCGTTGCACTGCCATTCTGCCAAAGTCGCAAAATATCAAACATGCCAGCAGCAACTCTGCTGACAAAGGCGCTGGCACGTCCGCATCTGGGCTGTGTGCGTCGACGTTCAAATGAGTCTGTTTCAATCAAAATAGTCACCTTTCGTGCTCTCGTGCAACGAAATCCTTTGCTTCCAGACTTTCGGCTAGCGTGCGTTGATGGTCTGGGTGCGGTATCCTTCACTATTCACTCCAGCTGCATCATAACTAAAACCATGTCTGCACAGACTGCGTGGTAAGCACCACCCCTCCCAACCCCAACCAGGAAAACATGGGCTGTACCGACATGTGTACCTTGCAATAGAGTTTGGGATAGCACCCAGTCAAGGACAATCGGAGTTTGACCAAAAACAAATATAGAGTTCTTGAAAACACCATGAAAAAGTAATCTCACCTCGCTCAGCACGTTCTGGGGGAGCTGTTGCAGCTGCGATTGCCTAAGAAAGACTCGACATGGAAACACACCTCGACCAAACCCATCTAGCACGTGACTCAAAGTGCATAGATCTCCAGTCCTCGTTGATAAATACCACTGCATTCACTTGCAAACAATGGAACATCGCTGGAAACTGAAAGAACACTGGTGTGTATCAGTTTGTCAGCAACCAAAAAATCACCAATGTAGAATCTGGCTTCCAGACTGCAGCGGAAGCAGCAGATGGCTCAAGCATTGCACATTGCGATAACCAGCAAAAGAGGCCCTGCTGCTCAGTTAATGTGGCCATTGCCTCCCTATCGGAGAAAAAGAACAAGTACACTGCAGAACGCCTGAAGTATTCCCAACCTGATTTTAGCATAGTCTATGTAATACATGTTTGGATTATATAAATTCAGGCTCAATGAAGCCAAATTGAAGGGCATAAAGTTTCATCCCAGCAAACATGTGTTTCTCTTGTTCAGCGTTCCGCAAATGTCCCGTTTGCGCCATTACCATGTTCCAATCTATGTACAGCAAAGTGTTGAGTCCGTGAGGGGTCCTTGTTCTAGGGCTACGCTGATCGGATGCAGTTGTGCTCTACGGATCTTGCCTTCCGTCACCTGCTGCATGAGTTCGAAGGAGCGATCCTATGATGCGTCAGCGGAAGGTGCTGGCAGAGGCAATTCGTGCGAGCCTGAGAGGCATCAACATAAGAATAATGCAAACGAGATCAATTTGTCCATGTCAGGCCAAGATCTTGTTAACCGGCGGAATTCACTCGTGGAGTAGCGAAAAAAAGAAGAAACGGTTCCTGCCTCCGCGGCCAGCGGCGTGGTAGGTCCTTGCCAAGTGAAACCTCTTCAAGCAATACAAGCTCTGTCGGTCTCGTATCTTCTCGACCGTTGGCTGCGTAGGCCTTCGCAGGCATAGCGCCTTCTACGAACTTCCTGATTGTGGCGCCGAAACGGAGCCTCTCTATGGCTTTCTTGTCTGGCGAAGTCATTCTGCCACCATTTGACTGAGTTTTCACTATTCCCCGCAACTCTTGCAAACGCTGCTTGCTTTCCCAGCTCGACTATCATGTGTTGTCTTAGCTTGGGCATCCATACTGAGGGAACTTTGCCCCTCTACTGTTTCAAATTTTTCCCGAAAAACTTGGTCGAAAGGCTCTTCCCAAAGGCACTTGGTCTGTCTAGCTCAGGGCTTAGGCGCTTGTCACAAAAGCTTCAGCACTTGTAAGAGCTTTGCTCAGGCTTTAGTGCTCTGGCACTTGTAAGGGTCTAGCACAGAGACTTGACCAAGTTTAAGTTTAAGCACTGACTTGCGGGAGACTTGACCAATGTTTTAGCACTTGCAAGAGACTTGGCCAAGTTTTAGTAATTGCAAGAGATTTGGGCCATTCGAGGCCCTATATAGCGAAGTTCGAATTCTCGTGGTTCCGGCCAAACCCTTTCACAACTTCCGGCCTGTCGACGTCGAGTGCCCAAGCGTGTAGCGAAATGCGACTTCTGTCGGTTGCCGGTAAACTTTTTCGCAGGGTCCGTGAGTCGAGCACTCGACTTTTGGAGGACGTCTCATGTGAAATGCTCGCTTTGGAGACTTGAACTGTGATTATAGGCTTACGCCTAACAGCCGGGCGCCGGCCCACTACGGTCTGTGTAGGGCTCGGTCGGGTGCACGTTAAGCTATCGGGGGCGTACTGGGCCCTAGGTTGGGCCAAGTTGGGCCCATGTGGTCTATGTTGGGCACATCTTGGGCCCATGTTGAGCCTATGTTGAGCCTATGTTGGCCTATGTTAGGCCTATGTTGGCCTATGTTGGCCTAGGTTGGGCCTATGTTGGGCCTATGTTGGCGTACGTTGGCCCCATGTTGGCCTATGTTGGCCCTATGTTGGGGATATGTTGGCTATCTCGGGCCTATGTTGAGGATATGTTAGGCAATTTAAGTCGTCTGGAGGGCCTCTACCCACAAAATGTCGATTATGCCTGTCCGCCCGGCGGGCATTACCGACACCACCTTTGAAAAACACAGCGTTTTTGCATGTCTCCATCTTCGCCGCGTCGCACTTCGATATGCGCAATAAACCCTGTAAAACACAGTGTTTCGTGTACCTCACACTTAGATGGTTGCTCGCAAGAGCTAGTATCAGTACCACTTTACACGCATTAGACCTTGACTGCAAACAGAAAGGCGGCGAGTCCGAGAACTTGAAGATGTTGAACAGTTTTGTTTGAACCTGGGTGAAACGTGATGAGTCTGTGTCAGACGTCTCTGACTGCTTCCCATGACATCACTAGCTTCGTTGGCCAGCGTCGTGATGTCATGCGCTGGCCCCCTGCCTCTTTTTCTGCGTTAAGAAACTGTAAGTTAGTAGCGATACCAGGAGCCCTTAGTAGCAAGACCACGGGCCCTAGTAGCATCCTTTACGACTCAAAACCTTAGGCACAGGTGTGGACACTCCTAGCTCCTGGTAGCGAGGCCAGAAGCCCCTAGTAGTGTCGTTGGTGTCCGCCGGTCGCAAAACTTTGGACACATAGCGCCAATATTGGCGCTTTTTTTGAAGACTACTAGCGACCGAAAAAGCCTTAGAAAGACAGAGAAGCAAACAAAACACAAGCAGACTAAGAGGGCAAGAAGGAAGGATAGGCGTAGTTACGAGGCCCACTTAGTTAAATGAAAGTAGAACGCGAGCGGGACCTTTTGTCTTAAACCGCCCGGGTAGCTAGCAATAGAGTAGGAGAAACGGAAGGAAAGGCACCAACACACAAGTGTGTTGAGCGCGATTTCCTTCCGTTGCCCGAATAGCGATAGGAATGGAGGCCCAGGGGTAGGGAGGTTGGGGGGAGGGTGGGTTAGGGTGGCCTGTAGGCCTTGCCATCATTGGCTTTCAAGTATAGCCGATTTGGGCCGGCACACCCTTTCCCTGAAAGACACCTGGAACCTAAAGAAAAACCTCAAGAAACGAAAAGCAACAAAAGGAGAGAAAGAACCGAAGAGCATGAAAAACACATGTAACAAAAACGCAGTGCGTAAACCCGCCTGTGAATACTTAGACGCATGTTTCCATGTGAATCTCAAGTGGGAATCACAGTGAGCCCTGCGGCATAAGATCAGTGGTATCGCGCAGCACAGTCGATCAGGGGTAAGAATCACAGTGAGCCCTGCGGCATGGTATCCCCCAGGATCTGGGTCTATGCACACGCGGCGCATCTTGACGGGGATCACACCACAGCCCTCAGTGGGACCCTGTGGCGAAACACACTTAGATGGTTGCTCGCAAGAGCTAGTATCAGTACGAAGTCCCACTTTACACGCATTAGACCTTGACTGGAAAAGAATGGAAACAGAAAGGCGGCGAGTCCGAGAACTTGACAGTTTTGTTTGAACCTGGGTGAAACGTGCTGAGTCTGTGTTAAAATTAGCAGGTACACAGTCAGACGTCTCTGACTGCTTCCCATGACATCACTAGCTTCGTCGGCCAGCATCGTGATGTGGCCCCCTGCCTCTTTTTCTGCGTTAAGAAACTGTAAGTTAGTAGCGATACCAGGAGCCCTTAGTAGCAAAACCTTAGGCACAGGTGTGGACACACACACACGAAACACTGTAAATTACAGCGACTTCAGTGACCCGGAGGTCCCCCGTTTTGGGCGCGAGGGTCGGCGGCAGGGGACGCGACCGTATATCCGGCCAGGGGCGATGAGCCCCGTCAGGGCCGTGTCCCTCCAGGGGAGCTCTCCTTCTGCGAAGCAGAAAGCAAATCCGCCCCCAGCCGTGGGACCCAGAAAACCCAATGTTTTTGACGTTGTTTTTTCCGCGCTTGTTGCTCACGATGGGTCAACATAGCCCAACATAGGCCCAAATAATGCTGGAAATGCTTGCCGCGCCGGGGCGCTTCGTCTGCATCGTGGGCAGATGCTGGGCTAACGTGGGCCCAAGCTAGGCCCAACATCCACTCCCTCAGCCTGCACCCGCGCCCAATCTTCCACCCTCCAGCCCCCTACCTGGCCGGCTGTCGGGCGTAAGCCCTTAAATAACCTTCGGTTACCACCGAAGGCCCTCCGGGCGGGGCACGGGCGCGTGGCCGGCGCCCGGATTTTTGGGGGAGGCGTCGTACGAAATGCTCGCTTTGGAGACTTAATGCGTGATTTGCAGTACAAGTTTCAAAACTGGCAAGCCTGCAGTACCTATGTAGTACGGGAAGCAGTTTTTATTTTTATAGTTTCGGGCCACTGTGACCAGGAAGCACTAGCACGTTGGCGTAGATGCGGCTCGCCGCTGGGGAGCCGGATAAATGGCAGTGTATACCAGGCTGGCCAAAGTCCGTCTATGCGGTTTTGCGCGGCGTCGGTAAAAAGTGCGTTTGCGTGAGTCCGGGCCCCGCGCAGGAGGAAAGCACGCCGGCGTAAACGCCGCGCGTCGCTAGGAGGCGGATGAGTGGCGGTGAACGAGGCTGGGTATAACATGGTTGTATGTAGTGTGTGGCACACCGCGTGGCCAAAGTCAGCCTGAACCTCTGTCTCAAGCTTGTCCTGCGCAACCCGCCGTCACTCCTTATTTGGCCTTTACACAGCGACTACAGTCCGCATGAACAGGAACCTGGTCAACCTCACCTTCTTGCCTCATGTGCAAAACAAGTCTTTCCCAAAGTGGGCTTGACCTTCAACCAGGAAATCCACATCATGGTCTCCACCAGTGAAAAGCCATTCTTGAGATTTTCAATCGAAACACCATCCGTGAGAACAGTCCTCCAATTCCCCAAAACCAAAGTGGACAAAATGTTGTATGGAGTATCACCCACCATCACCGAGAACTTCAAGATCCCCCAACTTCTGCTCCTCTTCCAACACTTTGAGAACCACCTTGCACTTCCCAACGAAAGCGACCGGCATCCCATTCACTGCGGTGAACATCGCCCAGTCAGGAACCAACTCCCCATGAGCGAACCGTTCAATGGTTTTCTGGTTGACAACACAACATGAAGCCCCAGAATCTAGCAATCAGTGCCCCTCATTCAGCGATTGCCCAAAGACTGCAACAGTAGTGACAAAATCCCTTTGGAAGCCTCCCCAAAGAACCCAGACTCGGGAGCACATCCAGAAAGGATTAGGCGCGCTCCCCCTTCAGACCCGTTGGCACACTCATCACTTTCTCAGTGGCCTCATTGTCATCGCGGATCACGGCACACCCTTCCAACATCACGGTACTGGCGGTACTGTGCTGACCCCAAGCACTTCGTGAACACGTCGGCTGGATTGCAAGAGCCACGGACAAACTCTAGGTTCAATTGACCTCTAGTTACTCTAGCCCGTCCTCTT